GTTTAAAAAGTGTTGGGTTTCCTACGAATCCGCAAGAGCGCGCGGGATGAGATTTTGACAATTTTTTGTTGAAAAACCATTGGTTTTTTGATGTTTTTATGTTAAAATCGCTCCGAACACTAAGCTTTTGGAAGGATTTCGTCTTGCGCGCGCGAATGTCCACTTTACCTTATTTTTTGCAAGGGATTCTTGAAATTTGATTATATTAGAACAAGAAATGTCATTTTATAGTGTTTTTTGCAAGGGAAAACGGATTACAACAAAACAACCGGATCTGATCACATCGTTTTACCTGAGGCTTCCTCACGAAAATGATGAAAATGTAGCTGCGGCCTAGGCGGCGCAGGGGGGGCGCGCACCAGGGGGCCCAACAATAATTATTCTTTAGAATAAATAATGTTCAACAACAACAACAACAACAACAACAACAACAACAACAACAACAACAACAACAACAACAACAACAATTACTAGCACGTGGGGACACTCCGTTCTCACCAGTGCCAGGGTTTTCATAGGAGGCGGGCAATACCCCCACTTTGTGGGGGGGCCGGTTCAAGCTCTACCAAATTTCCAAACGACTCTTCGCCACCACCCACACCCAGCTTCCCGCCCTATGACGTTCGGACACTTCACTTCGTGGCATGCGGACGACCGTGGCTACTATTCAGGGCCCCGCGGCCGACGACGACGGCGTGCGCGCGCGAAGAAAAAACGAATGTGTCCCGCATGGTATTATTTGACAGGGATGATGGCCCTGGCAGGTGCGCAACCGTTGTTGCAGAAGTTCGAAAAAGTTGCTCGCAAAAGCCCGTTTGACAGAAATGTTTAAAAAGTGTTGGGTTTCCTACGAATCCGCAAGAGCGCGCGGGATGAAATTTTGACATTTTTTTTTTAACCATTGATGTTTTTTGATGTTTTTATGTTAAAATCGCTACGAAAACTAAGGTTTTGGAAGGATTTCGTCTTGCGCGCGCGAATGTCCACTTTACCTTATTTTTTGCAAGGGATTCTTGAAGTTTGGTTATGTTAGAACAAGAAATGTCCACTTTAGCTTATTTTTTGCAAGGGAAAAGCGGGCCGTAACAAAACAACCGGATCCGGACCAACCCGTTTTGCCTGAGACTTCCTCACGAAAATGATGAAAATGTGGCTGCGGCCTAGGCGCGGCGGGGGGGTCGTGCACCAGGGGTCCCAACAATAATTATTCTTTAGAAGTAATAATGTTCAACAACAACAACAACAACAACAACAACAACAACAACATCAACAACAACAACAAAAACAACAACAACAACAACAACAACAACAACAGCAGCAGCAGCTGCAGCAGCAGCAACAACAACAACATCACCAATCGTGACACCCGAATAAACTATGAACCGATGTGCAGCATGCATCCGTCATGATAGTTCCCCCTCATGGGGGATGTTCTCTTGACAAGGGGGGTCCGATATCCCATTACCCAGACCTCCCGCCCAAAGAAGTTTTGGCAACACCTCTTCTGAAGCACTTCAACACCTCCAGCACAAATGGCACATCGCCTTCGCACTCGCCCTGCCCATGCCTTCTTTCTGAGTGTCACAGCGCCCGAATGGCCCAAAATCACTGGGAGAGGCCCCACAACCTTTGGGAGAGCCCCCGAAGCCCCCTGGACAGCCTCTGGAGCCCCTTGAAGAGCCCCCAAAGCCTCTCAGAGAGGCTTCAGAACCTGTGGGGAACATGACGACCCCTGGGAGACGCTATAAAACTGAACCGGACGATTTCGGGGCATCTTGAAGGAGGTCTCAAGGCATTTCTGGAAAAGGCTTGGATCGGAGGAGTTCCTGAGCCTCGGGAAAGGAAGAAGAGGAGGGAGCAGGAGGACGAAGAGGAAGGAGGAGGGAAGACCAAGAGGGAGGAGGAGGAACAGGAGGAGGAGGAGGAGGTGGAGCAGGAGGAGAGCGACGACGACGACGACGACGACGACGACGACGGCGACAACGACCACGACGACGACGACGACGACGACGACGACGACAACGACGACGACGACGACAACGACGGGGTCGCCGCCTCGGACTCTCGGGCCGCCCCTGGCACGCGGAGCGCGCCAGGGAAGCAATGGTGCAGACCTCCGAGGATGCATGTTGCAATCTTGAGGATCGGCACTAGGGACTAGGGAAGCCCCAGAGCCTCTGTGAGTCTTGAATAACAGCGGAGGCAGTATCGAGCGGGAGCGTCGTTGTTTGCAGGGTGGGCCGTCTGCGGCGCCGAGGCCGGAGCGCTGGTCTTGAATACAAAAAAAAACAACAAAAAAAATCCAGCGCGAGCGCTGGATTTGTGGGAAAGTCGACTTTCGGCGGCGAGCAAGAGCCCTGGTCCCGAGTGGAAAAGCAGGAAGTATCGAGCGGGAGCGTCGTCGTTCCTTGGGGGGCGGGTTTCGGCACAACCCCGGGTGTCCCATACTAATAAATTTCTAATAGTTAAGGTTCAACATGGACTAGGGAAGCCTCAGGGCATCTGGGAGTCCTGAGTAAAATCGGCAAAGGTATCGAGCCGGAGCGTCGTTGCTTGCAGGGGGGCCGCTTGCGGCGCCGTGACGGAAGCGCCGGCCCTGAGTAAAAAACAAGGCAGTATCGAACTGGAGCGCTGGATTTGTGGGAAAGCCGCCTTTCGGCGGCGAGCAAGAGTCCTGGTCCCGAGTAGACCAGCAGGAAGACTACTACTACTTTTACTACTACTACTACTACTACTACTACTACTACTACTACTACTACTACTACTACTACTACTACTACTACTACTACTACTACTACTACTACTACTACTACTACTACTACTACTACTACTACTACTACTACTACTACTACTACTACTACTACTACTACTACTACTACTACTACTACTACTACTACTACTACTACTACTACTACTACTACTACTACTCAGAACAAGCTACTACTAGAAAGCGAGTACTACTACTACTACTACTACTACTACTACTACTACTACTACTACTACTACTACTACTACTACTACTACTACTACCTACTACCTACTACCTACTACCTACTACCTACTACTACTACTACTACTACTACCTACTACCTACTACCTACCTACCTACTACTACTACTACTACTACTACTACTACTACTACTACTACTACGACTACTACTACTACTACTACTACTACTACTACTACTACTACTACTACTACTACTACTACTACTACTACTACTACTACTACTACTACTACTACTACTACTACTACTACTACTACTAAAACAACAACAACAACAACAACAACAACAACAACAACAACAACAACAACAACAACAACAACAACAACAACAACAACAAACATCAACAGCAACAGCAACAGCAAGAGCATCATCAACAACAACCATAACATCAGCATCAACAACAACAACCACAACCACAACCATAACCACTACAACATCGACAACAACAACAACAACAACAAGAACAATAACAACAACAACAGTAACAGCAATAGCTATAACAACAACAACAGCAACAACATTACCAATCACAACACCTATTTCAACAACAGACTTATAGTAACAGAAAGAGCAAGATTGTCAATGATGATCCGAATAAGGGTGTCATGAATATTAAGCATGTTAATGATAATGGTGATAATAGTTATTCCTGTTAATTGCTAACATAATATGCATCTGCATCATTGCCATCATCAGCAGCATCAACATCATCATCATCAGTATCATCATCATCATCCCCATCATCATCGCCATCGCCGTCCTCCGCATCAACAACATCAGTATCACCATGAGCATCATCATCGGCAGCATAAGCATAAGAATCATCATCAACTGATATTCATCCTCATCGTCATCATCATAAACAGCAGCATCGTCACCATCATCAACATCACTGTCATAATCGTCATCATCAGCAGCAGCATCATCGTCATCATCATCGTCGTCGTCAGCATCAGCATAAACAGCATCGATCAGCATCGTCATCGCCATCATCAGTAGCAGCATCGATCCTCATCACCGTCACCATCCCCATCATCCTCATGATCCTCATCGTCCTCATCATGGATCTCCAGAGCCCGGAGACCCGAGGTGTCACACGGGACGGCCTCCTGTGACCCCTCGAACAGTCGCCTCCCAGAGTGCTGGGATGGCACGGTGGCGGGACTTGCCGCAGAAAGCTGGATAGTTGATTTGGGCGTCAATGAGGCGCTGGAGAAAAAGCGTCCAAAGTATGTGGAGGGTGACAGCGATGTAAAGATCAAAATAAAACTTCGGAAACATGTGTTCAAAATAGACTTCGCCAAGATGAGCGTGAGGGTCGTCAAAAGGAACGGCCTTGGCGTACGACTGAAGCTCCGACGAGACGGAGCTCCTGTGAACCCGAGCTGCTGAGCTGTGCTAGGTGTTCTAGCCTGGCGCTTCCTGAGGCTGAGTGCTTGATCGTGAGGGTGTCCGCACGCAGGGGCTTGTCTGAAATATCCCTTGAGAAGGAGCGAATTTCGTTGCTGTAGCAGTGTTGCAGCAGTCAATGGATGCGCGCCAGAGCAGCAAGCAGGTCCACGAGCCATGTCAGATCCCTGATGCTTCCCTGCGAAATGAGTGCGGCGGAGGCTACGTCCTTCGTCCCAATGGTGATCAAGATCTTCGGCCAGGAACCGAAAGTTCGGGTTAGGGTCGGGTCGGCCAACCCTTGGCCTTCCTCTTCTAACCATGTGATTGTCCAAGTCCTCCTCATCCTCATCCACACCATGGTGACCCCCTCCCTCTTCCTCGCCATCCTCCTACTCCTACGCATCGTTGTCCTCCTCCTCCTCCTCCTCCTTCTCCTCCTCCTCCTCCTCCCCCTCCTCCTCCGACTCCTGCTCATCCTGTCATTCCTCCTCCTCCCCCCTCCTCGTCCTCCCCGTCCCCTCCCTCGCCTCCCTCCTGGTCCTCCTCCTCCACCCCACCTTCCCGCCAGCATCGACCGCCCCTGTCCCTGCGCGGTCTCTCCGGCTGCGCCACGTTGGCGGAGCGCTTCTTGAGCACCGCGATGGCACCGCTCAGCGCGTCCAGGGACTCCGAGTAGTCCTCGGGGGAGGCAGGCGGGAAACAGCAGGGATGACGAGGCGTAGGAGGAGAGAACAACGAGCAGACGACCACCGCTTGGGACAAGGGTTGGGTCGGGCGTGTCCCCCTAGAGGCGGATTTTGGACAAAAAATCGACATAATTACCCAACAAATCAAACATTGCATGGTCAAAAAATCGTCCCCAGGCCATGTTTTTCCTATGTTTGAATACCCCCCCTGTAGAGGGAAAGGCCCGACTGAAGACAAGGGCCCACGCAGAGGAGGAACAAACGAACAACCATGAGAGTGGCGATGGCTGGCCACTGTGACACCAGGGGGAAGAGGGAGAGAGGGAGGAGGGGGAGGAAACCGGGACGCTGACGCGGCGGGCGGAACGACCCCCCAGGCTTGCCTGAGAAGCGGACCAACAACGAAAATAACAACAACCGACGACTACAAAAATAGATGAATGGCGAGGAGCAGGACAGGGAGGAAGAGTAGGGAAGAGTAGGGAAGAGGAGACGGAGGAGGAAACAGGGGGAGGAGAAGGAAGGAGACGAAGGCGATCAGGAGGAAACCGAGGAAGAAGTGGAGTGAGAGGAAGACAAGGATGGGGCGATTTGAGAGGAGCTACAATAATTCCCTCGAAGCCTTACAGGGTTCATGGATTGCCCTGGAGATGCCATGCGAAGAAGCTGTAACCGTCGAGAGACTGAATACAGGTCCGCGAATCGTGCCAGCCGTGCCCCGCGTGCAGAAACGTGAAGAAAGGCCCTGCGGGTCAACGCATACGGGAACTGCTGCCATCTGTTTCGCTTAACAGATCGACGCCCTCAATCACGACAGGATCGGCATGCGCGCCCTTCATGATCTGCACATCCACCGCCCCGGGCGCGCGGTCGACCAACCGGTTGACTCGTCGAATGGCTGCGCGGGTCGTCCTCGACAAGGCTGGCCAGTGTGTCTGCCGCTGTCGCTCCTCGGCGGGGAACCTGCCCGTCCGTGGACTGTCAGGCAGCCCCCGCTCAGGAGCGAAAGAAGGACGTACACGTACATGAATCCACGCTGGTGCCGAGAGTACGCATTGCGCAAATGTTCGCATCACGCGGCCGGTCTCGCAGATCGAGGGGCAGCGTTCATGCACATAGCTGGGCGCGTACGTCCTTTTGTGGGCTCCCCACGTCCTCACGCCCGGACAGGCCTCGTCGTCGGCAGCGCCGGGCATCCGGCATCCCCTGCTCCGCCGGGGCCCTCGGCCGCCGCTCCTGCCGGGAGCCCGCAGGCCCTCTGGGCTCGCAGGCCGCCGCTGCTGCTGCGCACGCTCTGCACGGCGGCGCCCCCCCTCCCCGCAAGCCCCACAGGAGGTGCGGGGGCCACCCCGGCAGGACGCGCCGCCCACTCCGCGGGCGCGAGGCTGCCGCGGGGGCCGCGGGGCGGCGCGGCCCCGGGGCGGTGCGCGTGCCGCCCAGGAGAGAGCGCGCCCGAGCGCGGCCGAGCCGGGGCGCCCGGGCGGCGGAGGGCGCCGCGACCGAGGTGGTCCTCGCGGCGGCGGCGCGGGACCTGCGAGCCTTCGCGACCTCCTTGTGCTCGGACGCCTCGGCATCGAACAAGGCCTTGCTGGCGCTGGTGAGGCCCTGGTTTTGGAGGGCCCAGTCACGCGCCTTCGCGGGGGGGCGCGGAACCTCTGCTGATGAGCGTGAGCCACCCTGGCGCGAGGCAGCGAGGGAGCTCGGGCCGGAGGTGCGCGGCGGTCTGGCCCGAGGGCCGTCCGATGTTGCCACGAGGAGGGCCGCTCTTCCCATGCCGGGCGGCGCCGTGCGGCACATCCCGACCCGGGGCTTCTGGCCGAGGTCAAGGCGGCCTTGGGTGCCGCTGCCGACGGCGGCCTCGCCGTTGCTTCCTGGTGGGCGGAGGTGCCCGTCGGGTTGAGGGACGTGCTGGAGCCGAAAGCTTGCCCTGCGGAGAAGGGATCGTCGTCTCTAGCACACGCAAGCGTGAGATCTTCCACATCGGCTCGGGCTCCGACGTGGAGGAGGCGGTGTCCGACAACGAACGGGCGGACATCAGCGAGTCCTTCGATGTTATCACGGCGACCCGGGCTGCCAAAGACTTGGCTGATGCGCTCGCGTGGGACCGCACAGAGGCCCCAGGCGTGGCACCACAAGACGGCGGCAGAGGGTGTCGAGTGTCTCGAGGCTGGGGCTGGGCCCCTCCTCGGTGCCAAGGAGTGGCTCATCCTTGTGCCGGCGCTCGTGGTGCAGGTGCTGTTCTTTTGGGTGTGATCTGCAGGCCGATGTTCACCGGAAGGCGCGGCTCTCTCTCGTGCAGCCGAGCTTGGCGCCAGCGCCGCCGCTCTGCAGGCTGGCCGCCAAGATCGAGGGGCAGAGGGCCAACGCGATCGGCCAGGCCGTTGACCCCGGACCCTCGATGCCTCGAGCCTGCTGGAGGGAGCCGACGTCCACCTCTCCGAATGGGTACGATGCCCAACAGCAAATGGCGTCCAAAACCGACAGCAGGCCTCGACGGCCGCGGCCTCCCCAGCAGCGAGCCCTGCTCAGAATGACGAGAGCTGCTGTTGGACGGCGTACCCCTTTGCTTCCGGGCTCGGGGGTCCGAGACCGGAACCCAACGTCGGAGGCCTAGAGGTTGACACCAACACCGATATCGGCGGTGTGCCTCCATCGAGGAAAGAAGATCCCGATCTCGGTGATGGTGGCAATATTCTGGCTCCCAAGGTGGCCGAAATGTTACCACCGACACCGAAATACGGGACCACCTTCCCCCTGTGGAGGCAAAACCCCTGTGTTGGTGCTGGTGCCCCTTTCCAGGCCTCCGACAACGCCAGCAGCTACGACGCGGGCAGAGTGTCTGAGCAGAAGCAGCGGGCGCTCCCCGATGTCGGCACCCAGCTGCCGGCAGTCGGTGGAGTGGGAGCCCAGCGCCAGCAGCTGCGGCGTCGGCGCAGCGGCGCGCGTGGAGCCTCGGAGGCGGCCATACGGTCAAGACCCGCGGCGCGTGCTCCTCGCACCGGTCCAGAGAGAACGCCTGCGGTGACGCCCCCCGCGTTTAGACTGCTCGCCTCCCCGCCCCGGGAGCGGCGTTCCGCTTCGCGGGCTGGCGCGCCGTGCCCTGACCGCGGGCCGCCGTCAGAGAGAGGGCCCGCCGAGGCTCGCGGGTGCACCGGGCGAGGAGAGCGGCGCTGCTGCTGGGGCTGCTCGCGCCGCTGCCGCAGACTCGAGACATCGGATCGGCGGGCCCGCGCCGCCGTGCCCTCGGAGCTGTCCGCGGGCCGCACAGAGACACACTAGTACAGTGGAGGCCCGAGCACAAGAAACCTCCCACAAGAAACCCAACCCTGACACCTCAGGACGTCCATGGATATTTGGCGCGGGAGCGGCACGCTGTCGCAAAACCCTCGAGACCCAAGAAACCCGGGGCACCCTGGAGGCAAGCAGGGTGTTTCTTGGCACGGGTCTCCACCGTATGTCCTCCTTGGAGGTGCGCGTCCGAGCCGAACATGTAGTATAACCATCTTGTAGTATATCGTTTCCCGAGCGGTGTGGCCAGAAAGCGCCCGCCACAACGCATGTACTATAAGATTTCTCGGTGCGCGCGTCGTCCCTGAAAGGGGGGCGACGCACACATAGTCTATAGTATTATTACTAGAACCACGCGCGCGCTTCGCGCGCGCTTAGGTTCTAGCTAGGAGGCGAGCTTGAGTCAACGAAAGTCGCAGGGAAGGGGGCAGGGGGAAGAAGGCCAGAGAGCGCTGAAGGATACAAATACTGGAACCCTCTTGTGATTTTGTGGGGGGCCTCGTCCGGCCGCTCGCTGGGAGTTTGACGTAGCTTCTCGGGAGCCTCTGAACCTGTCGGGGGCCTCCTGGAAGCAGGTTCGAAGCATTTTGGGGGCCGATTTGGGGCTTCTCGGGGCCTCCTTTGGGCCTCTTGGGGGTCTCCTGGGGCCTCTTGAGGGGCCTCCTTGGGGCCTCCTGGCGGCCTCTTGGGGCGGAAGGCTCGAGCTTGCGGTTCGTGGTCCCCCTCTGGGCCCCCTCTTGGGCCCGTCTTGGGGCCCTCTTGGGCCATCTTGGGCGCCTCTTGGGCCGTCTTGGGGCCCTCTTGGGCTGTCCTGGGGCCCTCTTGGAAGCTTCTTGGGCCGTCTTGGGGCGGTCTTGGAGGCCTCTTGGGCCGTCTTGGACGCGGTGAAAGTCCAAGATGCGAACATGCGAAAAATTTACGTTTTCCCATAGGAATGGCACGATCTTTGTTTCTTGGACCTCTCTTGGGGTGCCTCTCGGAACGTCTTGGGGTGCTTTTGGGAGCCTTTTGGCGCCTCTTGGCGGCATTTTGGCGCCTCCTGGAGCCTCTTGGGCCGGAAGCTCGGAATTCGAGAGTGGCTTTCTCCTTCTGGGACCCCTCTCGAAGTCGTCTTGGGGTTCTCTTGGGCCGTCTTGGGGCCGTCCTGAGCCACTCGTGCGCAGCCTTGGAGCGCTCCCGGAGGCCTCCTAGGCCGTCTTGGAGGCCTCTTGGGCCGTCTTGGACGCGGTGAAAGTCCAAGATGCGAACATGCGAAAAATATACGTTTTCCCATAGGAATGGCACGATTTTTGTTTCTTGGACCTCTCTTGGGGTGCCTCTCGGAACGTCTTGGGGTGCTTTTGGGAGCCTTTTGGCGCCTCTTGGCGGCATTTTGGCGCCTCCTGGAGCCTCTTGGGCCGGAAGCTCGGAATTCGAGGTTGGCTTTCTCCGTCTGGGACCCCTCTCGAACTCGTCTTGGGGCTCTCTTCGGCCGTCTTGGGGCCGTCCTGGGCCACTCGTGCGCAGCCTTGGAGCGCTCCCGGAGGCCTCGTAGACCGTCTTGGGCGCCTCTTGGGCCGTCTTGGACGCGGTGAAAACCCAAGAGGCGAACATGCGAAAAATATACGTTTTCCCATAGGAATGGCACGATTTTTGCTTCTTGGGCCTCTCTTGGGCTGCCTCTCGGAGCGTCTTGGAGGCTTCTGGGACCTTCTTGGTGTCATGACAGGCGTCCTGGAAGGCATCTGGAGCCATCGGAGCGCGTTTCGAAGCCGCCTGCGAACGATCTTGGACGGCGTCTGGCGGTCCGACGAGCCTCCGGGCCCCCCGGAGCCCACATTTGTGGTCGGGGTCCCGGCCCCGGGCCCCCGGACCCGGTGCGCCGTTATATGTATATATTTGGGGTGACGCCAAATCCAAGCCAGATCTGGTATGCAGGCCCGCACCGACGACGCTCGCTCCGTCGATTCGGCGGCGGCGAGCCCAGCTGGGGGACGAGAAGGGGCGGGCCTTCCCAGCAGGCTCGGGAGCCCCCCGGCCTTCTGCGAGGCTGTCGAAGTCCTCCCCCGACGAGACAGGAAGCCCCTCGGAAGCCGCGAGGGCCCCCCGAGAGGCCCCGCCGGCCTCCGAGAGGGCCCTCTCCTCCTCGCCTCCTCCTCCTCCTCCTCCTCCTCCTCCTCCTCCTCCTCCTCCTCCTCCTCCTCCTCCTCCTCCTCCTCCTCATCCTCCTCCTCCTCCTCCTCCTCCTCCTCCTCCTCCTCGTCCTCCTCCTCATCCTCCTCCTCCTCCTCCCCCCAAACCAACAGCGGCCGCTGTTGGGCAGGCGGCCTTCTCTCCCGAACGGACACAGGCCGCGGCGGCGTGGACAGCGAGCCCTGTTCAAAAGGAACAAGAACTGCTGTTGGGTATTGCTGAAGGGGCCTTGGGACACACAAACAAATACACACAAATAACAGGATTCCCCATATTTTCCCACATGATCTGGGTTTTTGTCTTCCCCCCCACTTTCCATAATTTCCTGTATTTACCTGGGGATCGGCGATCAATTGTGTCTGTGTGTTTTCTGTTCCTCCTGAATTGTACCCATTCTTCCCGTACCCCCTCCGCCCGCCGCCCCCTCCGCAGACCCCCTCCGCCCGCCGCCTCCGCCCGCCGCCTCCGCCGCCGCCCGCCCCTCCGCCCGCCCCTCCTCCGACCGCCTCCGCCCGCCGCCTCCTGAATTGTTCGTGCAGCCCCCCTCCGCCCGCCGCCGATCGACGGCGAGGAGTGCCGGGGCCGGCTCGGGCAGCGCCTCGCCCCTCGAGCCCTGCCCTGCCTCTCGCGGGGGCCCGCCGCTCTGCCCGACGCCCCCCGCGCGGCCCGCGCGGCCCCCCCCTGCCGCCCGGCGGCCGGAGTGGGCGCGCGCGGCGGACGCCAGGACAGTGGGCACTCCCAACAGTCCTGCCCTCGAACTCAACATGCGCTCGAGACGCCTGAGACATGTTCTGCAAGTGGTCAGAGCACGTCTTGCGCGTTTGGGACACGCTTGGAGCACGTCTTCTCAGACACCTGGAAGTGGTTTGGATCGACTCCCACAGGGTATGTGATCGGGAGGGGGCGTGGCATGCTGGCATGTGAAGGCCGCTCTGGGGCACGGCTACAGTCAGCACGTACAGGAAGGACGCACGGTAACGCTGCAGGGGCCCCGGAGGGTTCTGTCGACGCTCTGCGGGCGGGGCGCGGCCAGCGAAAGCGGCCAGGGAGGGCCGGAGGGGAAGGATGCAGGGGTGGCCATGGCAAGTTGCTCCTCCGTACTGTGCGGTTCGACTGCATCGCATGGCAGGGAAACTGTCTGTCATCAGGGGGTTGTCCGATCTCGGACCGGAGTTTCGCCCGCGATCGCAGGTACCACTGATATCCCAAATCGCAAATTCGCCAGGCCTCACTCACTAATCTGTCGCCAGTAGTGTGCCTGGACGTTCTTTCCTGGCCGCCTCCTCCGAGCAGTCATGAGCACGTCTGATGTGGAGTCAAAGCGAAGCCTTGTATCGATCTCCTGTGCGCGCGGTTGCCGTGTCCTACCTTGGGCTGCCTGCTATTCGCTGACGAGCCCCGCCTATGCCGAAGCGTCACACATGCTGAATCGTCACCTGTGTGGCGACGTCCCTCTGCGTCGACGCGTCACTTTTGCTGACCCTCCGCATGTGCCGAAACGTCTCCCGTGGGCCAGAATATCACAAACGCGATTCGTTCCTCTTATCCCTATCTCGGACTGTGTCGGACTGTGTCGGACTGTGCGCGTTGGCATCCAAGGTGGGCGTGCTCGTGGTTGACCCACCCACGCCTATTGAATGGGCGGCATCTTAGAGCCTGGGGGCACCGAAAGCTGTGGTACTGAGCCTGCCTTTCGTGGAGGAGGAGGAGGAGGAGGAGGAGGAGGAGGAGAGGGAGGAGGAGGAGGAGGAGGAGGAGGAGGAGGCATGCATTGCCCCTCCTGCCCCACTTCCTCCACGCATCGGGCCACTCCTCCTGCTCCTCTCTCCCCCCTCTCCTCCTACGCTTAGGTCGGGCCTGTCCCCCTACAGGCGGATTTTGGGCGAAAAATAAAAATACGCAAAAGATACCCCCAAATAGTCAAAAAAAGTCCCCATACTATTTTGTTTAGCATTTTTGAATTAACGACCGAATTAATCCTACGCTCGTCACCCCACCCACATTCACCCCCGTGGGGCCCAAATCCTACCACATTCCATTCGATCAGGGAGGAGGGGGGTGGGTGCAGCGAGAGGATGCTCCTGCGTTGGCATGGTTCGATACGCGTTCTGGGGGCCTTCTCAGGTACACTTGCTCCACTCGTGCGTCGATGCTGCATCGAATGTCCGTCGATTTGAATCGAACTTGAGTCGAGCTTCGATCGAATCAGAGTCGAAGTAGACTCAAACTGGAGTCGAACCTATCTGCTGGGCGGGCCCGCGGAAGGTCCCCAAAACGAGCACCGAAGAATGGCAGGCCCTCGAGACTGACCCTGAGGCCCCCCAGCACCGACGCGACGACGTGCCCGCCGCCCCACCCCGGAGCCTGCAGCGTCGTGTCGTAGTCCGACCGCTCCTCGGCCGCGCGGCCGGCGGGAGCCCAGGGACAACGCTGGGCGGAGCGGCACGGAGCAGTCCAGGTCCCGGCACAAGACAGACGGTGACGACGGCGACGGCGACGGTGCCCGCAAGAGCGTCCACGCGAGGGGACTCGGCGGGGCGGGGCCAAGGCGCCCGAACAAGGGCAACTAACGCGTGCTGCTGGCAAGGGTCGCTACTATTGAGTCGGGCCTGTCCCCCTACAGGGGGAGCTTCGACGAAAAATAAAAAATACCCCAAAAATAATCCAACAATAATCCTAAAATAGTCTGGGGACTATTTTTTTAGCATTTTTTACCATTTTGGAATACTTTTGGAGTATTCTTTCTTTTTCGTCGAAAATCCCCCTGTAGGAGGCCAGGCCCGACTTAACGCTACTATCAGGCTCACTCACAAACACCAAAGAATGTTCCAGCTCATTCCGCGATGGCGCTGCGGCCGCGGAAAAGAGGCAGCACGCGACAAAGAGGCTGGTGCGAGGCGGCCCCGGCGCAACCACCATCAGGATTACACCTCAGATGCTCATTCTGGAGACCTTCCTGGAGCCACTCGCTCCACTCGTGCGTCGAACCTGAGTCGAACCTGAGTCGAAACTGAGTCGATCCTGAGTCGATCCTGAGTCGAACCTGAGTCGAACCTGAGTCGAACCTGAGTCGAACTTGAGTCGAACCTGAGTCGAACAGATCCATTAGGTGGGCCCCAGGAAGGTCCCCAAAACGAGCATCGAATACCCCTGCAACGGCAGAGGCACGAGGGGCGACAGCGACGCAGGACAGTGCACACCAGAGAGAGAGCGAGGCAGATCGAACCCACTCGCATCCGCACCGGACGCCTTGCGTGTGCGACTCACGATAGGCATGCGGGGCGCGCTTCACTAAGATCAGGCGCACAAAGCAAAGCCACCTTGTCCACGTAAGAATCTTACCACGTCACCCCATTGCAGCTGTCGTGCGAGACGTATCGGCTCACCGTACAGATCTCGAAAAACCGAACGTACCCAACGAGCCAATGGCACCAGATCCGCCACCGTGCCTTCAGCACGCAGTGGAGTGCCCCAAGGCTCCTGCAGCCCCGAGAGGTGCCAGGGCTCTAAAGGTTCTTTAGGGGCCCGGACCCCGGTTTCCCAGGCGCCGCCGGGCCCTCCTGGGCGATACCGGGGTGAAGTCGGGCGTGTCCCCCCTACAGGGGGATTTTGGGCGAGAAAAAAAACACCGTACAGATCTCGAAAAACCGAACGTACCCAACGAGCCAACGGCACCAGATCCGCCACCGTGCCTTCAGCACGCAGTGGAGTGCCCCAAGGCTCCTGCAGCCCCGAGAGGTGCCAGGGCTCTAAAGGTTCTTTAGGGGCCCGGACCCGGGTTTCCCAGGCGCCGCCGGGCCCTCCTGGGCGATACCGGGGTGAAGTCGGGCGTGTCCCCCCTACAGGGGGATTTTGGGCGAGAAAAAAAAATACACCAAAAAAAAAAAAAAAAAAAACGTACCCCAGACTATTTTTCACTATTTTTGAAAATATTCCCCCTGTAGAGGGACACGCCCGACTTAATACTGGGGGTGCGTCGCGGGGGCCTCTGGGGCGGCGACCCCGCCCAAGGGGGCCCAAAAATGGGCGCAGGGGCCCCCAAAAAAGCCCCAGGAGGACCCAAGAGACCTCCGAGACGGCCGGAGAGCTTTCCGAGCTGTTCAAGGCGGCCACAACACGGTCTGCGAGGCCTCCAAGACAGCCCCGGAGGCCTCCAAGAGACCTCCCAACAGGGCCCCAAGAGGCAGAATTCGATGATTTTCCTCAGGAGTTTGAGGGATTTCAGCGTTCGCACAATTCGGTTTCCCCACGCTCCAAGACGGCCCAAGAGGCCCCTAAGATCGCCCGAAGACTGCCCCAAAGGCTCCCAAGAGGACCCCATGACGGCCCAAGAGGGCCCTAAGACGGCCCAAGAGGCGGCCCAGGAGGGCCCAAAGACGGCCCCTAAGAGGGGGCCCAGGTGAGTGACCCGAATGGACAGTTCGAGCCCTCGGCCCCGAGGGACACCCAGGAGGCCCCAAGAGGCCCCCAAGAGCACCCCAAGAGGGCCCCCAAGAAGACCCCAAGAGGCCCCAGGAGGCCACCAAGAGGTCCCAAGAGGCCCCAAGAGGCCCCCAAGACGCCCCCAAGAGGCTCCCAAGAGGCCCACAACCTGCCACCAAAATGCCCCCGAGAGCGCTCCGAGGACCAGAAGAAGCATCTGTGAGAATTCTGACCCACAACCCAAGCATGGTGGCGGGATGGGCCGAAGGCCATTAGATCCTCCGCCCCCTGTGGTCTTGCCACAGGGGTGCCCAGCGTGCTACACCGTATTCGTTTGGTTGTGGCTCTTTTTCCAAATAAACTCTCGCCTGGGGCTTCGGCGCGTCCCGCCAGCCACCCAGAGGACCTCGCTGCAAAAAGCATCCAGGTCCAGATGGCCTCAACTTTCGCCCAAGATGATCCAAGATGGCCTCCAAGACGGCCCAAAAGGATCCGAGATGCCTCGAAGTCCGCCATAAAGGCAAACCAAGTCGGCCCAAGATGGCTCTAAGATGGCCCGAGACGGCCCTCGAGGCCACCAAAAGACCTCCAAGACGGCTCAAGAAGCCTCCAAGAGGGCCCCCAGGAAAACCCGAAGAGGCCAAAATCACTGATGTTCCCTGTTTCGTGGCATGTGTTTCGTTTCGACCTTCCGGCGACCCGAGACGGCCCAAGAACTCCCAAAGATCACCCCCAAAGCGCCCAGAAGGCTTCCAAAATGGCCCCAGAACGGCCGAAGAGGCCTCCAAGACGGCCCCAAGGAGCCCCAAGACGGCCCAAGAGGCCTCCAAGACACCCAAAAATGACTGCCAAACGGCCATGGAGCACCCCAAGAGGGCCCCAAGACGGCTTCCGACGGCGTCAGACGGGCCAGGGGCCCACCAAGAGGGCCCAAGATGGCTCCAAGATGGCCCAAGACTGCCCAAGAGGCCCCGAGGTCGTCCCCAAGACGGCCCCAGAGACTTCCAATAGGACCTCCAGAAAGGCCCGAGAGGTCAAAATCACGGATGTGATTTGGGTGTTGGAAAGATGTTGGCAAGTACTTTCGCTCGGCCTTCCGACGGCCGACACGGCCCACGAGCGCCCAAAGATCGCCCCAAGATCGCCCAAGAGGCCTCCAAGATGGCCCCAGAACGGCACCAGAGGCCCCCGAAACGCCGCTGGAGCACCCCAAGAAGGCCCCAAGCCGGCCCAGAGAGACCCCCAAGACGGCTTCCGACGGCGTCGGACGGGCAAGGAGCCCCCAACACGGCCCAAGATGGCTCCAAGATGGCCCAAGACGGCCAAACAGGCCCCGAGGAGTTCTCGAAGACGGTCCCTGAGGCCTCCAGGAGGACCTCCAGGAAGGCCCGAAGAGGCCAAAAGCACTGATGTCATGTTGGTTATTTGACATATGCTGACATTTGCAGATCGTCGGCCTTCCGACAGCCCGAAACGGCCCATGAGCCCAGACAGGCCCCCAAAACAGCTTCTGACGGCGTCCGACGGGCCAGGAGCCCACCAAGACGGCCCAAGATGGCTCCAAGATGACCCGGGACGGCCCCCAGAGGCCTCCAAGAGGACCTCCAGGAAGGCCCGAAGAGGCCAAATTCAAGGCGCTCAGCCTTCCGACGGCCCGACACGGCCCAAGAGCCCCCGAAGATCGGCCCAAGATCGCCCAAGAAGCTTCCAGGATGGCCCCAGAACGGCCTAAGAAACCCCCAAGACGGCCCAAGACGCTCAAGATGGCCGTCAAAACGGCCGTAGAGCACCCCAAGAGGGCCCCAAGTCGGCCCAGGGAGGCCCCCCAGACGGCTTCCGACGGCGTCACACGGGCCAAGAGCCCACCAAGACGGCCCTAGATGACTCCAAGATGACCCAAGACAGCCCAAGAGGCCCCCAAGATCTCCAAGACAGATCCAGAGGCCTCCAAGAGGACCTCCAGGAAGGCCCGAAGAGGCCGAAATAATTGATGTTCGAGCACGCGACCTATCGCTGCGACATCCTCCTCCGATCAGCAAATCACGTCGGCAACCTCTCGCTCCAACGTGCAATCTGCCCAGTCTCCTCCGACCCCTCCACGCGGCATTTCAGCGGTCACCCTGCCAACGCAACGCGCCCCAAAGCATTGGAATTCCAACACCGACAACCAGCAACCGCCCTCGCACAATGCGCCCCGCAGAGCACGCCACGCTGCCTGGGCGGTGAACGACTGAGGTGGTTGCTGAACGGAAGGTCCGGAGCGGGCGTCGCACAAAGCTCGCCACGTTGGCAGGGTTGTGCCGAGAAACGCCCTCGCCCCAGGAGAAAGCTTTCGCTGCGCAGGCGGCCAAGAGATTCCACGACGGCCCCCCTCGCACCATGGTCTCCGACGCGGAAGAAACGCAACTGGTAGGAACTCGCCTTCTGGAGCATGGCTACACACTTCGCCAGCGCAGGGCTGCCTGAAGCTCGGCGCAGGACCTCGAAACTTCAATCGCGCCCCCCTTTATCTGCACAGCGAGTCGTCGGGCGATAGACCCAGGAGGTCCGCGTCGCCCCCAGCGCCAATGTAGCTCGACATCTGCGTCAGCGGTCGCACCGATCCCCGCTCGTCGTCTCGGTGAGAAAAATTCGGCGAAGCATTCGAAGTCGCTCTCGGCGGAGATCCCGGCCGCGATCGCGCCCCCTCTGCCTCGCGTAGGCCAGCGCTTCTCCCTGAACGGCCCGCGGCAAACAACATCGGCAATACCCGCTCCCCCGATCGCCTTGATCGAAATTCGCGGCGCCATCCCACGCCGCGCGAGACTAGGTCTCCAACGTCCGGCGGACGAAAATTAGGACCGCGGCGGTGAGATTCGCAATCTCGCGCGGGAGACTCAGAACGAGCACGTCGCGAACACCCGCACGATACGGCTCGACTGCCCCGTCTGATGCTCCTCCCCAGACGGCGCGCAGAGCGCAAGTTCCGTTGCCGTTGGTTCTCTATTTGCAGCATGCCCGGCCGCCGAGGACAAGCCGACGGGTCTCTTCCTCCCGCGGACAGGCCGCCCGCGCCGTCGGCAACGAAGCGCGCATCCCCGCGCGATGGCACGTCGCAATAGACCGAGCCGCAAAACCGCAAGCTTCTCCGCGCGCCGCGGCCGCATCGACCGCCACGACGCCTTCGAGACGTTCGTCGACGCCCCCCGGGGCGCCCAAACGGGGCGACCCAGCGGCGGGCGAGCTAGGCACGGCCACGCACCGCCTCTGAGCCCAATGGCGCCCGATGGTGCCGCGTGCTTGAGACTCGAGAGAATTGGAGCCCAAATGCGCCCACGGACGCGCGCGAGGAAGAACGAGAAACACAAACGACGCACGGAAGCAAGGCGCCCTCGCCCACGAGGCTACGACCGCTCCCCCAGGACCGTTCCCCGAATCACGCATAGGCAGCTTCGGGGGACAAATGCAAACGAAATGTTCGACATCAGGCGAGCAAGCTTTGGCGAAGAACAAACGCTTGCCCAAAAACAACCCAGCGCGTATCAATGCCGGAGTGCACATCAACACGGCGCTCTCTCCAATGCGGCTATGACAACTGTCCCAGCACCGCCCCCCGAACAACGCACAGGCGGCTTCGGGAAACAACTCCCAGTGACATGCTCGACGTCAGGCGAGCAGACTTTAGCGAAAATCCCATGCGCCCCCAACGACAACTATCCCTGCGCCGCACCCCCACACACCGTGTGTGCGCGGCTTCGGGAACAAATGCCAATGACACACTGAAAAACAGGCGAGCAGGCTCCAGCAGAAACCCAACGCGCCCCAAAGACAGCCCCAAACATATGATCGACGGCCCATGGAAGCCCCAACATGACCCAAGAAGGCTACGCGATGCCCGAAACGCCCCAAGAGGCCCCCACGAGGCCTCCAAGAAACGCGCTAGCCGATCTGCGAGGCCCCCGGGATAACCCTCCAGGCGAAGCCTCAGAGTTCTCGGTGTTGTTTCCTCTTCTTGTGATTATCCTGACGTTCCTGCTTCTGCCACTTCATAGCATCCTTTCTCGCCCGTGTGTTCCGAAAGGTTCACACGACAGTTCGGGGAACACATTGCCCACTTGCTGATCCGAGCTCCACGCAGGCCCCACGCGAGCCCCGCGCCGACGCACTCCTGGGCGTCCAAACGGGATGACCCAGCGGCGGACGAGCTAGGCATTGCCATGCACTGCTTCGGACTAGACTTGCATTCGACGATATCGCGCGTTTCAGGCCCAAGGAACTTGAACCAAAATACAGCACGGACGGACATGATTCCGAAAGGCAGCGACAGCAAGGCACGTCAACAAAGTGCAATCGCCGACGAGGCTACGCCAACTATCCCAGGAGCGTCCCCCGAATCATGTGTAGGCAGCTTCGGGGAACAAACCCTAGTGGAACAATTCAACGTCAAGCAAGCTGGCTTCATCGGAGACTCACGGCGACCCCAAGACAGCCCAAGACGTATGGACGACGACCCATGACGACCCCTGGGACTAGACTAAAAGCCCAAGACAACACCCTTTGAATATCGAAAACCGCACACATGGCTTAGTGTGCTATGACAAGTTTGCGTGAACTACTCACGTTGTATGACCATTGTTTCTGTTTGGCGTGCCCATAGTCGAACGCTCCTGGAAACAGAAGCCAACGAAACCTTCAACATCAAACGAGCAGGCTTGGGCGGAGAACCCATGCGTTCCCAAAAACAGCCCACCGCGCATGGACGACAGCCTTAGACGGCCCCAACACGGCACAAGACGGCCCCAAGATTACCCAAAACGGCTCAAGAGCCCAAACCTCCGAGGTTACCTCAAGGGGAGTGTCACGAACCCATCTGTCCTGACTGTCATTCGTAATATTGCTCTTATAACTGTTTTGTTGCATCGCCCACGTGTTCCCAAAATATTTCCACGGCGGCTCGGAGAACAGCAGGTTCGATACCTGGTCAAAATCATAAGCCACACGTCAGTTCTGAGGTACCCTCAAAACACCTTCGACGGCGTGACACGGGCAGGAACACCCGAAAACGGCCAAATAAAGCCCCTGAGGCCTCCAAGACACCCGAAATCTTCTCCAGAACGGCCTCAAGCGCCCTAAGAGGGCCCCAAGTCGGTTGAGAAAGACCCCTAGACGGCTTCCGAAGACGTCAGACGAGCCACGAACGCCCCACGACGGACAAGGAGGCCCCCCAAAAAAACCCAAGGGAATCCGCAACTCATATCACGAGTACTATTGCTACACATGTCCCAGAGGGCGCATACCAGAGCACGTCCCAGAAGGTGCGCGTGAAGTATTACGTGCGTGTCCCAATTGGTGCATGCGAAGCACGTACTAGAGGGTCCGCGTACAACACGTGTCCCAGTGGGTGAGTGCCATAGCACGTCCTGGAGGGTGCGCGTGTATGGCGTGTAAGGATGATGCAACTACTAGCTATAGTAAGAGGTGGCTCAAAGGGATCCCAGGAGGCCTCCGTCTCCTCTTCCTCCTCCTCATCATCCTTCTCCTCCTCCTCATCCTTCTCCTCCTCCTCCTCCTCCTCCTCCTCCTCCTAATCATCATCCTCCTCCCTCTCCTGATACTCCGCTTCATGTCTCCGACAGCCTCCAAGACGGGCGAACGACTCCAAACAGATCCGTAAAACAAGCCCCACGAAGCCACCAACAGGCCCAACACGAATATCCTAGCACGTCCTGATAGCCCAAATACAGCGAAGCCTCATTGCGACTCCTCCGGCGAACCACTCTTGATCGCCCAAAAGGGCCTCTATAGTGGGCCTCCACGGCCACACACAAAGGCCCGATGTGGACAGCAGGCCTTCAGAGCGGATGCCGCCCTCACCTAGGGGAAACAAACAATTACATAAACATGAAAACTCGGATGTCCACGCGGATTTCTCGGATCCGCGCTGCACCCCCCTCCCTGGCGCGCTCCGCGCGCCAGGAGCGACGACGGAGGCGCCACCAAGGGGCCCGAGCGCCGATCCAAGGAATCCGCGCGGACCTGCAAGCTGGCATGTGATTGTCCTTGTTTGTTCCCTGGTCCCCCCGGGGAAAAGCCGTCCATCTCACGCACGTCGGTGATGGACTTGGAGTCCTTCTTCCAACGGCCAACGTCCTCATCCAGCTCCTGGATGCGGTCCGTGAGCTCCTTGATGTGAGCCTCGCGGGCGGAAGGGCGCCGTGAAATATCGAAACGGGTAGGACAAACTGAGAACGAGAGAGAGAGAGAGGGAAAAGAAGCAACAACAAAAAACAAACAGAAACAAAGAGAGAGAGAGAGAGTGAGGGAGCGATTAACTACAAAAGGAACATATTGGAAAAGAGAGACAGATGATCCATCTATGCATACCCATGCGTGTATATGTAAAGACATATGCATGTATGAATATACTTCTACTCGAAGCACACGCGCGCTTCGCACGCGCCTAGGGTCTAGCGCAGCACAAGTCAACGTCGCGACAAAGTGGTTGCATGTCGCCATGTCTGACTTCTTTTCGAAAACACTCGCAGCCGTCTTGCCCGTCGCCGTTCTCCCTCTCTGCTCAGGCGTCCTCCCCCACACTTCCTCCTCCTCCTACTTCTCCATGGCTCCTTCCCCGTCCACATGTACGCGTCGCTCATCTATCATGCCCTCACTTACCGTCCTTCTCTCCTGCTTATTCCGTCCTTCCTGCTCCCTCATCCGTTCGCCATCTCTGATGAGGAATGACCGAGCGAATCGCAAAGAAAAAGACAGGTTGGCACCCAAAGCCGAATCGATATGCCGCATCATTCTCCCCCTCCTCACCTCCTCACCCTCCTTCTCAGATTCTTCATCATCATCACCATCATCATGACCAGTCCTCATGCGTCCTTCTCCAGCTCCGTTTGGAGGCGCCTGTGGGCGCTTCCGAGACGAATGCCAAAACGGCACCAGCAGATATTTCCGTCCACAAAGACATGATAAACATTCAAGTTGCCTCCGCCTCATCCTCTACCACCCCTTCTCCCCTCTCCCCTCTCCCTCCTCTCCCCTCTCCCATTTCTCCTCCCTCATGTATCCATGTTTTGCTCGTGTTGGTTATCCTGTTTCCGGTCTTGCTCGTTTTGGTCATCCTCCTTGTCTCCCTCCCGTCCGTGCTGCGGGCAGTGACTATCGTGGATGCTAAAGATGACGCAACAACCAGCGTGCCATGCTCGGGAAGAAAAACCTGAAAATACGAGCATGCGCCCTGGCGCCACAGGGGACCCACCCAAGGAGCACCAGCACCCGTGTAAACGTGGCAGTCATGAAAAGGGATACAGATGAATATAACAAATAGCCTGGCGAGGAACCCAACCATATGCAGCTGTGAGTGCCGCAGTTGTGAGTGTTGTCTTCGGTTGAGCTCCCTACGGGGCCACGAAACATGTGAGGGATGTGACGACATTCGGAGTGGAACCGCATGCGAGCCCCGCCTCTGGGGCCCTCGGCGGAGCTCCCTACGGGGCCACGAAACGCGTGAGAGGTGTGCCGAAAGGGGGGTGGAACCGTGTGCGAACCCAGCCTCTGGGGCCTTCGGCGGAGCTCCCTATGAGACCACGAAACGTGTGGGCGGGGTGCCGAAGTGGGTGTGGAACAGCATTCGAACCCTGCCACTTGGGAATCAGGTGGAGTTCCATATGGGCCCACGAAGCGCGTGAAAGGTGTGCCGAAATTGAGGGCGGAACTGTATGCGAACCCTGCCACTGAGGCCTTTGGTGGAGCCCCCTGCGGGACCACGAATCGTGTGAGAGACGTGACGAAATTGGGAATGGAACCGCATGCGAACCCTACCACTGGGACCGTCGGTGGAGCCCCCTGTGCGGCCACGAAACGGAAATCAAGGGGTGGAACCGTATGCGAACCCTGCCACCGGGGCCGTCGGCGAAGCTCCCTATGGGGCCACGAAAAATGAGAGAGGTGTGCTGGACTTGGGGGGAACCGCATGCGAACGGCCTTCGGCGGAGCTCCCTATGGGGGCACGAAACGTGTGAGGGGTGTGCCGAAAGTGGGTGAAGAACCGCATGCGAACCCTGCCATTCGGGCTTTCGGTAGAGCTACCTAAGAGGCCACGAAAGGTGTGAGGGGTGTGCCAGAATGGGGGCGGAACGACATGCGAATCCTTCCGCTGGGGCCTTCGGCGAAGCCCCCACAAAGAGTGCATGCGGTGCAAAGGATGGGAGGAGGGAGGAGGGGGAGGAGGAAGGAAGGAAGGAGTAACGTGGGACGCTGTCTCTTCAAAACGAGGACCCAACACCACAGGATGGTTGGGACATATCTTGGGACACGTTTCGGAGAAGGGAAGGGCTACTGAACATGGACAGGGGATAAATCATGGGCCAGCTTGGGACACGTTTCGGAATCTCCTCGGGCTGTGCTTGGTCTCCCCAAGGCCCTCTCAACGCCACATCGAGCAAATACACACCGGGATCACAAACATACCGAACACCTGGAGAGACAGTTCAACTGTTGCCAGTACTTCACGATCGGCGGTTCTCTTGAGGCACCCTGGTGGCACTTTCGGGCCGTTTGTGGATCATCCTGGGCCCTCGATGTCTCTTCTCTCTAGGCTGTCGGGTGTGGCCCCTCCTATGACATGGAGGGGATGCGATCAGATCGTCTCAGGGCCTCCCGAAGGAGCCCAAAAGAGGCTCTGGAGAGGCTTCGGGCGGTGAAGGTGCCCTGGATGTGCTCCAGGGTCCCTGTGTGGGGCGGGGGACCAGGCCCCAGGGCTGGTGCTCGCGTGTTGCGTCTAGCGCAGAAGAAGGACCGTGCCCCCGCATACACGGGAACGCGGGCTTCGAAGTCAGAGCGCGTTCGTTGCTGAAGGCATGATTCCGAGCTCGGGTTAGGGTGAGCGGTGTGCAACTACATTCAAGTATGCATCGTTGTAAACATACATGATCTGGGATCGAGTGCCCCAGGATTCTGAACCTTTCGGGGCACTGACCACGCCACACCCACAGGGTGGGGTCCGATCGGCGGGGGGGACAACGGGAGGGACCCGTCTCAACTCTGCCCGCCGCCACCGACCACTCACATTACGCCCACAAGGGAGTATCCATGTCGGTGGGGGCCCCATCAGATGGGCGGGGGGATAGGCAACCCTAGATCATAGAATTCCCCGTATACTAACAACCACTCCCGCGCTGTCCACCAGCCAAGCATAAGTAAGCGAAGGGGAAGAAGGGGGGAGACGGCGGGTCGTCAGGGGGAGACGAAGGGAAGCCCATGACGCCAGCTATTTTTAAACACGGTGAACACCGAGTTTGTGGGATCACGCGGGGACACGGGGACGATCACCAGACGAGTCCGTGGGCCGCGGCCAACCCGAAGTAGACAGAGCCACCCGCATCCGACACGTCGCTGACTGTGACGAGCCCGTCTTGGTCCGCTCGGATGGAAGTGAACGCAAACGGCAGCAGGCAGCTCACGATGAGAAGCACCGAAGCCGCCCCCGTCGTCAGGGGTGCCATCCGGCAGGCTGCGGCGAGCTCCCGCACTCCGTCGGGGCCAGGCCATGGTAGCTCTCCTGATATTTGTGCAGCTGGCTAACCGACCCAGACAGACCTGCAGCGTGTTCGTTGCAGGACGATACGCCTGCTGACTAAGGCGAGCGCGACGTGCAACGTTGATCGCAGGGTAGCCGGCGGCGCAGGTACGATGCCAGCACGACCATCCACGAAGACGCCCATGCGTTCGACCACCTCCTGGACCTCGTGACAGTTATCAATGGCCCACGGCGTGCCAGCCCGCGTGTACCTGACCCCTCGCCTTGCCTGACACAACCAGGGCTGGCCCCCACAGGAGAGGAGGCTCTCCTCTGGGACGACCTCGGGTGCGTCAATGTCGTCGATATAATACTGCTACCACCTCTCGCTGCAGATAAAGAGAGGTCGGCCCTTCCACCACTCTTCTGCTGGCGGCAGCTTGGCACACAGAGGCAGATCCTGAAGACCACATCTACGATGTAGGTGCTGAAACAGCGCGACCGCCAGGACCAAGCCCAGTGGACACGACCCTACAGCACACATACGTCCAGGCTTTCCCCGGGGCCCACTCCATATGATATGGCGCATTCTCGCCGGGGGCCACGCACCAATGCTAAGCCTCTGGAAGCTCCCACGGGGGGAAGGCCCGTTTCTGATCGTCGCTCGACCAGAGGAGCACCTGCCCAGTCGGGGACAAGGCTCGTCCAGAAAAGCAGCGGCATAAGGGTGTCCAGGTCCTCGTAGACGTCGTCGAGGCACGATTTGGTCGGGATCACACGCGCGGCGACGCGCACGACACTCACTCGGTTCAATCCTAGCTTCCCCTTCTTGCTGACCGCGAAGGCGCCCTGGACAACGGGCACCCCGTCAACTGCGAAAACCGCGCCATCCTCGACGGGCGCCAGAACGCCGAGCGTCACCATGTGAGCGGCCACGTCGCACCGGTCGGACTTTGACTCCACCTGCATCGGCGCTCTCGGCATCTCTTGCGGCCATCGACTCGCGGCCATCGATCCCGCCGAAGAGAAGCAAGGCCAGGATCATCGAGCCGGGCTCGGACGCCCTCTGAAAGACAAGCGGGGCCCTCGACTTTAGAGCCACAGATGCGTCGAGCAAGCTCGGCTTCAACTCGCCCAACTTCAGCGGCGGGGCTCAATCCGGGGGGTCGAAGGAGTAGCTGACAAGCCCAGGTCCAGCGACCCCTCGAAAACCAAGTTTATCCACCGGGGGCCCACGAAGCGCTGCGCGCCCTTCACGATGAGCTGCATAGCCTCGTCCTGGGGCCCAGTCGGCATTGTCTGGCGTCGCCGGGCCTCCGCAGTAAGCTCTCTACAGTTCTCACAATTCAACGCCATGACCGCCAGGTAGGTCCAGACCACAAACACAGCGAACTCTGCCAGGCGAAGCGCTGGCACTCGGCGTCGAGCAATCTCTTCTCTCTCGCGCGCCCACCTCGAGGCGCAGCGAAATGTCAGAACAGCCATCGGGAGCACATCGCGGGCTCTATCCCCAGGCAGGCAAAATGACGATCGCAGACCAGGAAGACCCCAGAAAATGTGGGCAATCGAATTTGGCAAGCAGCGCACGTCATATACGAGGTGCAGGCTGAGGTCAAGTGAGTGAGAATCAATTGCGGTGACTTCGCGCCGAGGTACTCTGGGAAGTAGGATCCGCTGCCGCAGCGACCCCAAGCGGCACGCTGCCTCGGGCAGATGACGCGCTCGAGGCTGCTGCGCTCCAGCTGGCACGCCTCGCTGAAACACTGCGGGGGCTCACCTGCCCCCGCCCCGACACCTGCCCTTGCTGCCCTTGGGAGGGGGCGGGGCCCCCATCCTTGTACTCACCCTTCTCGGACTCCCAGGCCTTCCGCAGCAGGCCCAAGGTCCTCTGCCCGCACTTTGAGTTCGACTCGTCGCTCACGTGGGGGTGACCCCCCCTGGGCGCCTGATAGATGCCGACGCCCTCCTTCGCAGGGCACCCACGAGCCCGTGGCAAGGCTAAGTCTGCCCCGCTCTCTCTCTCTCTCTCTCTCTCTCTCTCTCTCTCTCTCTCTCTCTCTCTCTCCCAGATGCACGGTCCGACGAGGGGCTGCCCCTTCCAGGGCAGCAGGGCCCGCGGGCTCCCGCCCCCGTCCTGACCCTAGCCCCTGTGGCCCCTGATGCGCGCCTGCGTATCCGTTGGCTTCTACCTCCCCAGCTCCACGGACCTCATCAGCTCCTCCTCCACTAAGGCAATCGCGAGCATCTCACTGTCTGCGGGGGTCAGTTCAAGCCACCGCGCGCCCTGCCAGCGACGATCATTGCACCACATCTGACACGCCTTCAAACGCTGAATCAAATAGTCAAGCCCCTCCAACGCGCGGCCTGATGCGAAATAGTCGGTCGCGGGCACGAATGTCCCCATCTGTCTGCACATCTCTTCACCAATGGTCTTCATCTGGTGGTTCGGCGTGAAGATGGACAGGAAGCAACGCATGGCCACAGGCGGCATACATCCCCGATCCTCATCGTGTCCAAGCGGTGCCAAATACTCGCCCGTCTGATCCAACGCAATCTCTGCGAGCTCCCCTGGCTCGTTCTTCGCCGATTTCTTGAAGCGGGCCCTCTTGCTGACCAACTTCGACCGCGCCACTCCAGAGTTGTCAGCCACGTCGCCAGCGCAGTCATCCACGTCGTCGCCATCGACTCTGAACGCATCCACCAGGGCCTCCAACAGCCGCGGCCTTCAGCAGCCGCTTCGAGACATCTTCTCCACTGGTCCCAGTGGCCACCTTCTCGCGGCGGCCCGGCGGCTGCTCCCCAGCGGCCTTCCTCCGCTCGACAGCCCTGTCGGCCAGGACTTCGGCCAAGTCGACCTTCGCCTCCTCGGCCCTGCCTTGCATTCTGCCGGCAGCTCGAGCACGCGCGGCCTCCAGCCCCTGCCTCAAGTCAGCAGCGCGAGGGGCGCCGAGCCCAGCTTCTGACGCGGCCCCCAGCGCGTTGAGCTCAAGGTCGATGGGGATCCGATCGAGGCCTGCGGTCCTCGTCTCGCACACGGCCCCGCAGGCGCTGGCCCACGACTCCTTCATCTTCGTCATCAACGGCAGCGCTCCTTCTGCCTGGCCCCAGGTCGCGAAGGCGCGGGACCGCGGCGGACAAGGGGCGGGCTGTTATGCTTGTCAACTCCGCCCAAAACGGCAGGGCCACCGTTGCCCTGCCGAGACTATCCCCGAACACTGGCGAGGCATTCGCTGTCGATGATCCGTCCGCCGCCGACACGGATGATGCTGACCGTCGGATCGCTGAACCCGGATCCGCACTCCGTTGGCTCGCACCCCTGGCAGACACGGTGAAGGCGCTCGCGGCCAACTGCGACAACTGTGCCCAGGGCGCGTTGCCCACCAGTGCCGACAGCCATCATCTGACGCGATGTGTTCTCCTGCTTCACGAACTGGCCCTTCTCGATTCCACGGCACATGCCCTGGAACCTGAGGAGGTGGCAGCACTGGGCCTGGCCAGCACCATCGAAACCAACACGCCCCCACCTGCTGCCAATCTCGACGGGATAAAAGGTGAGGTGCCCAGGCTCGAGCAAAATAATCTCCTCCCCCGCGCCTGGGACGTCGGTGAACGGCACTTCCACTTCCAGGGCCTCACAATCGATCGTTCCATCCTCGCCGTCGGGCCGCTCACCCTCCTCGAGCACCTCGCCATCCGCTGTAGACACCAGATGCGAGGCAGACGCCCGCCAACTGCACACTGGCAAAATGCACGCAAGTGTTGCAAAACACCTCCCTGCAAGGCTAGAAAGTGTGTGAGAAAGCGGCGACAGCAGAACAGAGGGGATGGGGGAGATAGCTCTATCGCGAGCTGGTGGTCACGATATACACTTCTACATCTATGTATCTATATATATATATATATATATAAAAAAAATATATATAGATATGTTTGTATGTATGTATGTCCCTCTTCCTATATTTTTACAAGCCCGGGCGGGCGGGGGAAACCCCCACCCCCACCCCCAAAAAGTGGGACACTCCAGACGGGCCTCGAAGCGGCCCCCCAGGTCTCGCAGGGCGTTTTGCCAAGCCTTCCCAGCACACCTAGGGTGATCAGGGGGTCATCGGAGACGTCCCAGAAACCCCCAAGACAGCACAAGAGCGCTCCAAGAGTGACCGACGTGACCTCAAGATGGCCCAAGATGCTTCCAGGACGGCCCCGAAGAGGCCTCCAAGAGCACTCCCAAGAAGGCCCCAAGAGGCAAAAATCATTGATTTTCTTTTGGTTTTCGGTGAATTTGGGCGTTCTCCTCATTACGGCTTCCCGACGCTCCAAGACGGCAGTCTTCTGGGCGTCCGAAGCCGCCGAAGCTCCAAAATCGCCCCACAACCATCCGAAAGTCCAAGAGAGCCCCAAAACGGCACAACACGGGTCCAAGATGGCCCTCAGAGAGCCCCATGGCGGCCCAAGATGGCCCCAGAACACCCTCCGAAACATTGCAAAACGTGACCGGGTCGTTCAGGGAGACCTTGGTTGCAGGCAGGGTGGCCCGAGGAAGCCCCCAGAGGCCCCCAGAATACGCCCAGGAGGCCTCCAAAGGCTTTAAGAAAGCCTGAAACAACTTTTGTGAGGCCCCCAGAGGCTCTCCAAGGAGGAGCCTCTGCAAAAAAGAGCTGAGGAGGATGGGGAGAATGCGCAGGGTATGGCGAAAATGAAGAAAAAACATGGAGGAAAGATAACGAATAACATCACTATAGCGACGATGCCGGAAAAAGCAACAAGGAGTTATCGCTAAATTGTCGGCTTCACCTTCCTGCTATTCCGCCTGCATATCAAACTTCAAGGACCAAGGTGCATGGCGCGAAGCGCCATTGCAGTCTTGTATACATATATATATATATAAATATAAAAATAGTTGTATACATATATATATATGCATATATGTATACCTATATATATATATATATATTGAGAGCATGTAGAATTTAGAAAAGCAAGCGTAAAGAATGAAGGACACTATACAGGTGAGACAGGAGAAGAGAGAAGAGAGGCAAGCTGAGCGCGTCCACGGCGCGTCGCGCGACCCGACTCTCCCGCTGCGCTGAGCCCCCTTCCCGCACGCAGAGCTGGGCGTCCGACCAGACCTTGGCCCGTGGACTGCACCTGCAGCGCTCGGCCCGTCGTCCGTGGCACCGAGAAGGCGCTTCGACCAGCGGAAACGCGCAAGGGTCGGCGGTGGACCAACCTCCCTTTCGTAAACCTCCATGTCGTGAAAACGGCCCGGGACCGAAACTCACGGACCTGGACCCGCAAAACATGACGGCCCCGGCGCCCTCCCGCGAGCCGCAAACGGCCAATTCGCGGATCGGCGCGTCAGGGCAGGAGGCCTCTCAACCTCCGAGGAGGAGGAGGAGGAGGAAGAAAAGGGGGGGGGGGCGGGGGGGAATGGGGAGGCGACGGCGACGGACACGCGGCGCGGCGGCGCGACGCAGAGCAGCGGGCGGCAGGGAGCCTCGGAGCCCGTGCGGCCGCCGTGCTGCCATGCAGGGAGCGCCCGACCGAGGAGCGGTCCTCCTCCTCCTCCTCCTCCTCCTCCTCCTCCTCCTCCTCCTCCTCCTCCTCCTCCTCCTCCTCCTCCTCCTCCTCCTCCCCTCCTCCTCCTCCTCCACTCCTCCTCCTCCTCCTCCTCCTCCTCCTCCTCCTCCTCCTCCTCCTCCTCTTCCTCTTCCTCCTCCCCCGGCGTGATGTGTTGACTGGATGTGTTGACTGGATGTGTCGGCGGCGGCGAGGGAGAGGGCCTTCTCGAGGGCTCGGGAGTCCCCCGGGCCTCCTGAGGAGCTTCCCGAGCCCTCCCCGGAGGCACGGGGCACGTCTCAGAGGCGCGAGGGCTGCCGAGGAGTCCCGCCGCCTTCTGAGAAGGCCTTCTCCTGCCCACTGCCCCCCGTCGCTCGCCGCCGAATGTGGGAGTGGCGGAACGACGATGAATTCGAGGGGAGGTGCCCGACACGAAGCGAAAGAGCGTGCCAGTGCTTACTGCTTGCTCTACCGCAGACCGTGTGTTGCCCAAGGTGCCAATGGGCCAAGGTGCCCCAAGACTCCAGGGAGGCCCACGCGGACTCCCGGGCACCTCCCACGAGGCCCAGAGGGCCCCAGATGACTACCTGCCAGGCCACCCCAACCCAACCCAAAGACCCGAATTTCGGCCGAATTTTGGATTGGGGGGGTTACGGGCTCCACAAGTGTTCTTGTTCAATTTTCCCCGACCCTCCCCCCACACTGGAAATGGAACGCAAATCGGGGCCTTCGGGCTGGGTTGGGGTGGCTTGGTGGGCGGTGATGGCCAGAGGGGTCCCCAGAGCAGCATGCCCCGACGGGGGTCAACTTCGCCTTGCCGTCGCGCCGCCACGGGAGTCGGAGCGCCTTCGGCGCCCGGTGGCTGCCCGCGACGGGGGTCGTGGTGGGGCTGTCGGCGGGGGCGACGCCCCCCCGACGCTTATGAAGAAACTCAGAGCAAGGACTGCCCACAATGCCTGGGACGATCTCGACGCCTGCGCTTACAAGGTCTCGCGGCCACGTCACATGCGATGCTCAGTCTCACGCGGCTGCACAGGCGGCCAGAGCCTTGTACTCCAGGATCGCAGCATTCTGCTCCTCCATCAGCGCCTCGGCGGCAGCGATCTCATTCGACCTCGCCGGCAGCGAGCAGGCGGGGTGGGTAATTTGTATCAGGGCCGTCGAAGGGATCCAGCTCTCCCTGCCTGGGTCTGCGCAAAATGCTGCCGTGCAAGAATCACCGCGCACGAGACTACGACTCGAGAAATATGCTGGAGATAAATGAGGGAGCCCTGGGACACACAGTTAAATAGACACAAATCCCAGGATTCATCATCTTTAATTATATTTTCTGGATTTTCGTCTACCCCCCACTTCCCATATTTTCCATGATTTCCTGGGGATCGACGATTAATTGTGTCTGTATGTTTTTTCCCCCTCCTGAATAGAGTGCCACACATGGCAGCAGCCCTGAAGCCCGTTTTTGGTCCCGCTGAGGCGACCCCTGGTCACCCCAAGGCTCCCTGCAGACGGCCTGGGCACCAGCTCTCCAAGCTGAGTCAAGATCGCTCGAAGACAACAGAAGATCAGCACAGAACAACCTCGAGACTTCCAAGTGTAGCGCCAAGACCTTCGCCGACGAACCTACGCCTTCGAAAGCAATAGCAGGCCACTAACAACTCCAGCGGGCCCCCGAGAAGCTCCCAAAAGGAGCTCAGGGAAAAGATCTGTTGTCTTCATACTGGATGGCCCCCTTCCGATCGTGCCTGGGGCATCGTGGCTCCCCAAGCCTTGCAGCGCGAGCATCAGTGTTGGACCTGGTTAGACGGCAACGTTGACTTCGAAGGGCCTGTGCCGATGCGAGCTCGCATCCAACGGGGAGTGTTCACACACGCGCGCGGTCTATTACCATGGCAGGCCCAAAATGGCCTCCGGAAGGCAATTGCAGGGTCAAAGGCCTCCTGGGGGGCCCTCGACCGCCCCAAGACTGCCAACAAAAACCCGAGGTGGCCCACGGTGTGCAAGATCGCCCTAACACTGCCCCGAGACAATGCAAGATGGACCCAGGACAACCCACACACCGAGCAGACGGCCCCAAGACGACCGTAAGACCCCCGAAGGCACGACGACGACTCCACGGGACGGCCAGGCGACTCCCAGCAGGTCCCCAAAGAGCCTCAGCGGCCAACAGGCGTCTCAAGAGGCTCCAGAGAAGCCTTCCAGCACACTCATGAGTTCAGGGTGGCCACCAGAAGACCGTCAGGCAGCCTTCTGACTGGCCTGAACGAATTCCCAGCGGTCTGGGTGGCCTTCCAAACGGGACACAGTCGAGACACCATAGACAATGGAGGCACAATCGGTTAAAATAGACACCCCTGAGATCCAATCGAAATAGATCAGGACACCACGGAGGCACAACAAGGGCCACAATCGGGCCACACTCAAACCAGAATCCACGCGCAAGCAAAGCACAACCAAAACACTGCCCAGGTACCTTCGAGGAGGAACCCCTGGGGACAGTCCGCCCAGTCGCCCGCTGGCGGCAGCAGGGAGGCAAATCGCCGTCACGAAGCCCAAGAATCCCGGCAACAAGCGCACAGTCTTGCACGCAGGTCACACACGGCATGGAGCACGATACTACGATGTCCCAGCTACGGCGACTTAAGATAAGCGTTCACACACCTAACCTCACATAGTGGCTGGGGCAAAGTCCCTGAACACCCGCCCGAGCACCTGATAACAGAGGCTGCCTGCTCGGCGCTGGCCAGCCGCAGCCAGGGCAGGAGGCGGCGGACCCCCTGGCGAAACCCACGCAGCTCGAAAAAGTAGCTCGATCATTGCTATGGCTGGCGGGTCCGCTCCTGGCTCACACATGATCATTTGCGAGAGGGCATCCTCCAACACCAAGCATGGGCCCTTGCTCCTTCTAGATGTGATTGGTATGCGTTCCACATTCAGGCGTTGGGCGATCCAATGTGAAGGCGGAGGACGGGGGCGCACGTAGGAGTAAAGGGATCCACCCAGTCTGCGCGGGGATTGACGCGAGGGGAGGGAGGAGCGAGGAGGGAGAAGCTCGAGGGAAGATGGAGGCTGAACACTGGAGAAGGAGGAGGAGGAGGAGGAGGAAGAGGAGGAGGAAGAGGAGGAGGACCAGGAGGAGAAGGGTATCTCGATGTACAGTCGAACTCCTAAGAGTGACCAACAGTGGTGCGCCACCCCCGCCGACGGCGCATAACCGACCCCCGCGGCGGACAGCTACCAGCGGGGCGGGGCGCCGACGAGGCGAGGCGGACCCCCCCCCACACAGCCACATGGGACCTCCTCGTCCTCCTCATCCTCCCCTTCCTCTCTTCCTCTTCCTCATCTACTTCTCCTCGTCTCCTTCCTCCTCCTCCTCCTCTCCTCTCCTACTCCTTACTCCTCCTTCTCCTCATCATCCCTCCTCTATCATCTCATCCTATCTCCTTCCCATCCTCCTCGCCCTCATCCTCCTCCTCCTCCTCCACCTTCCTCCTCCTACCTCCTCCTCCTCCTCACTCATCATCCTCCTCCTTCCTCTACTGTCCTGTTTCCTCCTCTCCTCCTCCTCCTCATCCTCATATCATCACTCCTAGCAGCGCAGCATCATCATCAAGCTTCAATATCATCAGCCTCATGATCACAATCACCTCACCATCTCCAATCACCTCCATCACATCACCATCCCTTCACTTCACCATCACCATCTTCATCATCATCCCTCATCATTCATGATCATAATCATTCATCAATCATCATCAGCGTCATCATCTTCTCATAATCATCGATACGCTGCATTCAGCATCATCATCATCATCATCATCATTCATTCTCATCATATCATCATCATCATCTACATCATCTTCATCATCTTCATCATCATCATCTTCATCATCATCATCGTCTTCATCATCATTATCAGGCTAACAGCAGCAGCCAGCATCATAATCATCTTCATCATCATCTATCATTCATCATCATCATCATCATCAGCATCATCATCATCATCATCATCATCATCATCATCAGCAGCAGCAGCAGCATCATCATCATCATCGTCAAAATCATCGTCATCATCGTCATCATCAGCGTCATCATCATCATCAGCGTCGTCATCATCGTCGTCATCATAATCATAATCAGCATCTTCATCAGCATCATCATCGTCATAATCGTCATCAGCATCATAATCAGCATCATAATCATCATCATCATCATCATCATCATCGTCATCATCAGAATCAGCATCATGATCATCATCATCATCATGGTCATCATCATCATCGTCATCATCATCATCATCATCGTCATCATCAGCATCATCATCGTCCTCCTCATCCTCCTCCTCATCCTCCTCCCCACACATTTTGCCGAAGGTGGGGGTGGGAATGTGGCACCTCCTCCTCCTCCTCCTCGTCCTCCTCCTCTCCCTCCTCCTCCTCAAAATCATCAGTATCAGAATCATCAGCATCATCATATTATATTGCTCCTCCTCATCCTCCCCCTCCTCCTTATCCTCCTCCGCCTCCTCCTCCTCCTCCTCCTATTCCTTCTCCTCCTCATCATCATCAGCATCATCATCATCATAATCAGCAGCAGCAGCATCAGCATCAGCATCAGCATCAGCATCATCATCACCATCATCATCATCATCAGCATCAGCATCAGCATCAGCATCAGCATCATCATCTTCATCATCATCATCATCATCATCATCATCATAATCATCATCATCATCAGCATCAGCATCATCATCATCATCATCATCGTCCTCCTCCTCCTCTTCGTCCTCCTCCTCCTCTTCCGCTTCCTCCTCCTCCTCCTCCTCACTCTCCTCCTCATATTGTTACTCCTCCTCCTCCACCTCCTCCTCCTCATCCTCCTCCTCCTCCCCCTCTCCCTCATCCTCCTCCACCTATCCTCCTCCTCTTCCTTCTTCCCTCCTCCTCCGCCTCCTTCTCCTCCTCTTCCTCCTCCTCCTCCCACTGCTCCTCCTTCTCCTCCTCCTCCTCCTCCACCTCCTCCTCCTCCCCAGCATATTGCCGAGGGTGGGGGGGATGTGGCACCGAAGCTTAGGAACACAAGCTACGTAAGCCTAAACCTCTTGAGTTCGGCGGCGCCCGGAGGGGGGGGAGGGAGAAGGCCTTCTGAGAAGGCGACTGGGCTTCTCAGGAGCACTCGCGCCTCTTGGCAAGTCCCACCAGCTAACACCTCCTTCCCCCTCCCCCTACCACCTCCCCTGGGACTGGGAGGGGGGGCAGAGCCGTCAGAGCGCCCAAGATGGCCCCAGATGGCTCCAAAGGAAACCCAAGAGAGCCCAAGAGGGCCTCCAAGATGGCTCAAGATACCTCAACATCGCTCAAGGTGGCCTCCGACAAGTCCCAAAGACGCCCCAAGACAGCCCCAGAAGGGTTCCGAGTGCCATTCCCGCCTCAAAAAAACACCTCCCAAAAGACCAAAATCCTTCAAACACAGGTTTTGAGGCTCGCGTGTTCGCTTCCGATGCACTCTTGGAGCCTCATGATGACTCCAAGATAGCCCTAGAAAGGCCCCAGAGGGGCCCACCCAAAACGGCCCCAAGAGCGCCCAAGAGGCGCCAAAGAGCGGCCATAGAGGCTCCCAAGAGGCCATCTAGGAGCTTCCCAAGGGGGGGGGGCTCAATTGATCCCCCCCCCATCTCTGATAGATCGCCGCCAAAAGAGCCCAAAGAGAGCCCAAAGGAGGGCTCAAGACGGTCCCAAGAGGTCCCCCAGAACCCCCTTAAAGAATCCCAACAGGGCCCCTAGACCCCCAAAAAAAAACCCAGAGAGGCCCAAAAAGTGCCTCAAGTGCTCCGCGAGGGCCCCAAGAGAGACCCAAGACGGCTACGAGCGACCTCGGGGAAAACACTTCCAGGGCGGTTGTTACACTGCATGTGCTTACACTTCTC